ATTATTTATTATATCTTAAACAGTCTTTCTCAATCCTACCGATCGTTCAAAACTGCTATCCAAATTATGCTCACACCTCTTAGCCTCGATCAACTTTACCCTCTTCTTTTAAGCGAGGAAATCAACCTCACATCGGATGCTGCTCGGGCTCAACCAGCCATTGATCGTACTATCTCTCTTTTCACTTACATAGGACGCAGCCGCAGATCAAGAGGAAAGAACCCCTCATACACATCAGGCAATGCTCGGAACAACACCACTAAGTACGCTCGAAACATCGCCACTGCCTCCATCACATGCCAAATTTGTTACAAGAAAGGTCATTCAGCTCAATCTTGTTGGCACAAATTAAACATCAAGTACAAACCGTCGCTAAGATAGATAATACAATGCTAATGGCCAGCTCGGACACATCGGATGCCAACTAGTTCTTGGACTTAGGAGCATCGATCGTCGCATCTCATGAACTCCATGGACACTCTTTCTATCTCCAAACCATATCATGGCTCAGATAACATCATAATTGGAGATGGTACCTCTGTCAATATCGCTAATGCTGGGGAGGGTATACTCCCAACCCCATCCCGTAAGCTAAACTTTTAACAGATTTTTCACACTCCATCTCTTAGATATAATTTGTTTTATATATCTCAACTAACCAAAGAAAATAATATTTCAATTATATTTGATCCCTCTGGCTTTATGTTAAAGGATTTAAAGAATCAACAAGTCATACTTCGAGGACCATGTAACGAAGGCCTATACACTATTCTGATTGGTTCCAGCTCATCTCTACATCAAGCTTTATCTGCTTCGACATCTTCGATAAATTCTTGGCACCACAGACTCGAACATCCTCACAAGCGTATCTTAGATCTTATCTCTTCAAGTAATCCTCATCTGAAAATTAATAAACATTCTAGTCACTGTCGATCTTGTACTGCTTCAAAATGTAATAAAATTGTTTTTGAAAGTTCTCAAAACTGACAACTTTCACCTTTAACTATCATTCACTCTGACGTTTAGGGTCATGCACCCATTATTTCTTCTTAAGGCTGTAAATTCTACATAATATTTGTCGATCATTTTTCCAGATATACGTGGATATTTTCTCTACGACAAAAATCTGATGTTTTCAATACCTTTGTTAATTTCCAGAATTAGATTGAGAAATACACCACACATCAGATTAAAATCTTAAGAATCGATGGTGGCACTGAATATGTTAACTCTGCTTTCAAAAATTTTCTAGCTATTAATGGCGTTTTACATCAACTATCCTGCCCCTACACTCCGAAGCAAAATGGTCTGGCAGAGAGAAAACATTGATATATAATCGAAACCACCCGCACTCTTCTTCTTACGACCTCGGTCCCATATATATATTGGCCTGATGCGGTAATAACCTCTGTTTATCTCATAAACAGATTACCCTCTCCGACGACTAACAATCATTCTCCTCTCGATCTCATATACAACACTAAACATGTTTACAATCATCTCAAAATCTTTGGTTGTGAATGTTTTCCTCTCATTCCATCCCATGCTCATCACAAACTTCAACCCAAATCTCAACCTTGCATCTTCGTGGGCTACTCTGACATCTATAAGGGCTAAAAATGCCTAGATATATCTAATAACAAAATCATTACGTCTCGGCATGTTACTTTCAATGTAAATGTTTTTCCATTTTCCCATCTTCCGCACAATGTCTCCACTATTCATGCTAAATCTTGCCCTCTTTTACTAACTCATGTCTATGTTAGTTCTAATGCTATTGAAGATTAACCACATCATATAAACACGTCGATATGCAATCCTCAGGACCAAACTTCTATTGAACCAACATGCTACTCTCACCATACGTATCAAATTCAATCTCCATCCCCTCAGCCGTCTGGTACTCACATGTTACCGACTCATCATATGGTAACCTGAAGCAAAACAGGTTCACTCAAACCACCATGCCAGATCGTCTGAACCTATTCTATTTTTAAACTCCTACCAACTATCCCTCAGATCCAACAACATATGATGAGGCTGTAAAGATAACTGAATGGCGTCATGCAATGGCAACTGAATTTCTCGCTCTACAACAGCAGGCTACCTGGAGTTTAGTTCAGCCACCTCCATATGCCTCCGTTCTTGGATGTAAATAGACATACAGAACAAAGTCGCACGCTGATGGTTCCATAGAAAAATACAAAGCAAGGCTCGTCGCCCAAGGGAACAATCAGGAATTCGATCTTGACTACACTGAAACTTTCAGTCCGGTAGTGAAGCTACCTACCATACGCATACTTTTGACTATAGCCCTCTACCATGACTAGCATGTTCAACAATTAGGCATCTCAAATGCTTTCTTACACATAACCTTATTTGAAACTGTTTACATGGCTTAGCCAAAGGGGTTCGAAGATATCACTCGTCCAAACCACATTTGTTGTCTGCACAAGGCCATATACGGATTGAAACAAGCTCTACATCAGTGGTACAACACATTCACATCGTTTCCAGTGTTTCTTGGATTCTTTCACACTCAAGCTGATCCATCGCTCCTAATCTATCGCAAAGCAGAAGTTCGGATCTACTTACTAATATACGTAGATGTTATACTGATTATTCGAAATAACCAAGATAACATCAATATCATCTTAAACAAACTGAATTCAAAATTTGCTATGAAGAATCTTGGGGAAGCCAATGAATTCTTTGGCATAAGAATAGCTCGGTGCAACAATATGTACTTTCTATCTCAATCGAAATACGCCTACACCATTCTACAATAAGCTAAGCTCACCCAGTGCAATACTCTAGCAAACCCAACGTGCACAAAATTTCTCTCCAAATTCAGAGAGGATTCATTTCTTATGGATCCAACTCTTTACAGTCGCATAACAGGATCACTTCAGCATCTAATGCTAACTTGTCCAGATATATCATACAACATCAACTTCTTCTCCAAACATATGCATAATCCTCATCCTCAACACATATACCTGCTCAAACGACTACTAAAATACATCAAAGGTACGTTGTATTTTGGGCTACCCATTATGAAAACTAATCTTGCTCTTAAATCTTTTTCAAATGAGGACTGGGCCGGAGATCCCATCACTCGAAAGTCATCATCGGGTTACTGCTGATTCTTGGGACATACACTTATATCATGGACGGTCAAGAAACAACGCACTATATCTAGATCATCGACGAAATCTGAATACAAAGTGCTCGCGGCACTTACATTAGACATCATTTGGCTACGACGGCTTCTCACAGATTTTGGTATCTCGCAAGACTATCGAACAAATCTTTTCTGCGACAACATGTCTGCAATTGTATTGGCCAATAATCCTATGTTTCATTCTCGTACAAAACACATAGTGATTGATCAAAATTTTTTATGGGATCACATTCAGCAGAACAATATCAGACTACATCCGATCAGCACAATCGATCAAGTTGCAGATATCTTTACCAAATCTCTCTCTACACCTTGCTTTCGACAACTTCGACTCAAATTGACGGTCACTCAAGACCCATCAATGTGCTGGGGCGTATCAGAACAGACAAGTCCATCTGAGCCGTAGATCTATATATTAAGTTTTGTATTCCTTCGGTAGGATGGAATGGGTATCTGAAACCGGCTGTAGCTTCTCTTACTCATTTATATATATGTCATGTATTCCTACTGTATGAACAACAAGATAATAAAATCTCTTTGTTTCTCACATCTGTCTTTATTCAAGATCTTCTCTCTTTCCATTCTTTTCTACACTTTTGAACTCAATAAATCAAAGCAGATTAACATCAAATAATGTAGGTTAATGGCATTATCTCCGTCTCATGTTGTTCATTAAAACTACCAGTTTAATTTCGAATCCGACCAAACCAAACCACAACGAGCGAAATGGACAACTTTAAACTGAGTTTCAAGTCTGAATATTTTGTATCCTATCCTTCATCAACAACAAAAATTTTGTAATATCTTTGGAAGCATATAGTATTTTTCTTACATAACTACAAGAAAAAAAAAATTACCGACGGATTTTTCGTCAATAATTCTTTGGAGGTATATCCGCTAGAAAACCCGTCGGATTATTTCTGGTGAAAAAATCGTCGGTTTATCCACCGATAATTAATTCTGGCGGACGTATGTCCGACAAAAATGCTGCCGAAAATTGCAGTTTTTTTTATAGTGGAAGTAGTGACATTCAATGATGTAGCACAGCTTTATCTATCAGTCAAAAAAATAAGAAATCAAGGAAGAATTTATCAATCAGCAGTAGATCGAGAAGATGAAATGAGATTCGATGGAGCTAGTACCTATTGATCAAGAAAATAAGAAACATTTGGAGCGCTTTTCAATCGGCCATAAAGAAAAGGAAATTAGATTTGATGGAGCTAATCAGACTTTCAAAGGAAAAATGTGAGTTGCAGGAGTTTCGAAGGAAAATATGAATCCCACATAAGCCCGATTGTTTTAGCACCAAAATTGGTATGATGGCGGATGGCCTAATAGGTCATTTTTAAGGCATGTACCAAATAAAAAAAAAAACGTCTTAATATTATTGTAGTAAAAGAATATTTTTTCGTAGTGGGTGTAAAGCTGTAAATGTTACCATTTGTTTTCAGTTAATTGTTTTGGCATCCTAAGCATTTATCTTCTTTAATATATAATGGGTGAATGCTAATATATTCTAGAGCTTGGTTGGTGTATTGTTTAGTAAATTATTATAGTTAAGTAAGAACTAGTTAATTGCTTTGTTTAAAAATTTTCAAATTAATTAGAATGATTAGATATTATGTCAATAAGTTTTACATTAAATAATAAGTAATTACAGGGGCGGAATTTATTGCCTCAGGTTACCTGACTTAGAGATACATCAGGTAGCTTATAATATATCGCCACGTGCTCATACTCTTTACTGCGCGGCCCGACTACCCAACCCGAAACGAATATGCTCGGTATTGCTCGGTATTTGATCGGTATTTGCTTGGTATTGCTCGGTATTACCATCGGCCACGTTCGCTACTCCACCGCCGGTTCCGCCTCCTCCCTCGCCAACGTCCAGCCCTTTCTCGCAGGCTACCGCTTCGGCAAACTTGCCGTCGCCCACAACGGCAATCTCGTCAACTACTCCTCCCTCCGAGCCAGCCTCGAAGACTCCGGCTCCATCTTGAACATCTCCTCCGACACCGAGGTTATCCTCCACCTTATCGCCAACTCCAACTCCCGTCCTTTAATCTCCCGCATCGTTGATGCCTGCCAGGCCTTCCAAGGTGCCTATTCCCTCGTCTTCCTCACCAAAAACAAGCTATTCGCTGCCCGCGACCCATACGGATTCCGTCCCCTCGTCCTTGGCCGCCTCCGGCGCCCCAGCCGCGGCATCGTCTTCGCCTCCGAGACCTGCGCGCTCGACCTAATTGAAGCCGACTACGAGCGTGAGGTGAATCCTGGGGAAGTCATCTTTGTCGATGGGCATGACCTGTCTATCTCCTCCCTCTGCCTCATGCCTCCTAAACCTCGTAAAGCTTGTATCTTTGAGCACATCTACTTCGCTCTCCCGAACTCCATATATATATATATATATATATATATATATATGTATGTATGTATGTATTTTTTTTAAAGATAATGATTATTGAATTTATAATTTACATATTTAATACCAAATTATCCAAAATATACTGTAGATGAAAGAGAGCAAATTTTGAAATGGCAAAATTGAATAAAATAAAATAAAGTATCGAGAAGCAATATCTTGATTATTAAACTCAATTATTCAATTTATTTTACATAATTCTAAAAAATGGACTTTTTTCACATTATATTAGGTCCCAATAAAAAATTAATCTTAATCTTAAAAAAAATTTACAAAAAATATATATAAAAGCTGAAAAAATTAGACAAGGCTTTCAATAAAAAGGATGGGGCAACGATACGATACGATCTCTTTTGCTTATTTCTTAACAACGAGCCTATTGGGCTGAATTTCCAGCTAAACCAACTACCTTAATGGAGGCCCATTATCCTCTCGCGTAATAAAAATTAGAATTCCTTTCCACATCTTAAATTTTCTTATTCTTCAGGTAAAGAATTCCAATTTCACTTTCTAGTTTATTTTTAATATATTTCGAATTTCTCAGATTTGAACGATTTTCAAATACATTAGAACTTCATTGCATGTAGTCACCCATTGCAGCCTCCGCCACATTCGCATGTCTTTGATCACCATTGTCGCTTGCTATTACCACCTCTTTCCATTGCTGTCCATCGCCGCCGCCACCGCCTCTTGCCACTGTCCGTACATTAGAACTTCATTGCATGTAGTCACCCATTGCAGCCTCCGCCACAATCGCATGTCTTTGATCACCGTTGTCGCTTGCCATTACCACCTCTTTCCATTGCTGACCATCGCCGTCGCCACCGCTTCTTGCCGTTGCCCGCAACCATTACTGACTTCCACCGCTCGCAACCACCTGGCATCATCACCAGTTGCCACAACTGACACCACCGTCGGCTTCCACCAGTTATACTTTACATTACAATCATATTATTTCAAACCAAACAAAAAATAATATTTCCACATGTGTACTTTACACTCATCCAAAATTAATTCAAATATAATGCATTGCTTTTACTCTGTATTTTATATTGCATTCTATTTTTAACCAACTAAAAAACCCCTTAATTTTGACTTCATTTTGTAAAAATTTTCATATCCGTTTTGTTTTTCCAAAATTAATATATTCTCTAGGAAATAAAAAAATAATTATATTTATTGATAAGATTAATAGATATAATTTTATTACACGAAAAAATCGGAATTAAGACTGATCAAATAGATAATAACTTTGATTAACGTTATGCAATCGCACCACCAGACCTCCTTAATTTTCCTTCATCTCCTTCAATTTATACTCTTTAGTCTTTTCTCATTTTTTAATCGAAAAATATTTTAATTATTTCTCATTTTTATGTTATGTGTTAGATAATAACAAAAGAGAAATATTTGAATGTACAGCCTCGTAAGAATTGTAGAGAAAAAGCATGATCAATCGATGTCAGCTCAGCCTATGGAGGAATAAAAGCTGAAAGTTTTTAGTATTTTAAATATGTTTGTATTTTTATGTGATGAGTGTCACTCTTTGATAGTGGTTGGAGCTAGAGGAGATCACGATGCCCGTCAAATATGCTAACAAATTGTGATCGAATATGACTAATGGCAGTGGCAATCGAAGATCATTAATGGTAAGTGACGTTGGGCAGCATCGAAGGTGCTAAAAATTGATTGTGGCGATGGCACACCGTCAGAGAAGGTGGAAATAAGTGATAATGCACAATGATTTATAGGAGTGATAACTATTTTTATAACATTTAAAATAAATTTAATTTGGATATTTTTAAAAATAAGTTGGCTAGCTAGTTTGTCAAAGCTACAAATAGTAATATGTAAAAATTACACAAAATAAATATATTTAAAATATTAACAATTAAGAAAAACATTTCAAAAAGATCATAACTTTTTTAATTTATTTTGACATGAGTATAATATTCAAATAAATAATCAATTCATTTTTACATTGTATTAATCTAAAGATAAATCTAAATATTTAAAAACTATTATATCAAATTTTGATATTAGACTCACTTTTTTTTTTAAATTTAAAAGAAGTCTAAATGATACAAATTATGACAAAATATATTCATATAAATATCCCTCTTGAGAATTCTATAACTTATCATGATTCACACCATGTGTTTTGAAATTAGAACATAAAATAAGATGAAATTTTTTACTAAATTATACATCACATTATCAATTATTGGAGTACCTTTCCTATTCAAAGATAACAATTCAATTCAATGTTGGCAAGATCAAATAAGTCTCACATGATGGCATGTGAACTACTTAATAGGGTTGCTCCATAGCCACATAGGAGCCATGCATATGCTCTCCTTGTCACATGACCACATCTTATACTATTTACGAAGACCAAATTAAAAAAAAAATTAAAAAAAAACTGTTAATTATGGCCAAAATTTAATATAGAATGTAGTTTTGGTTGTTATAATCATATAATTGATTAAAAATATGATTATAAAATAATAATAATCCACCGAGATTTAAAGTGGTTGGTGGGCAAGCAAGATTGGGAACTCCCATCATAGGTTCGAATCTCCTCCTCCTCCGAGGGGCATAACAAGTGTGGGCCTTGTTAGATTCCGCCGATGGATTAATTATGTCTTAAGAGGACGCTAATTACACCAAATAATTTGTATGTACGAGTCGAGTAGACCCATTTGGGAATCAAGTCAAGATCTGGCTGTACAAAAAAACTTTGAAAATAAAGGAGTATTTAATTAAGAAGTTGGCTCGATTAGCTTAATAAAATGATTAAAGGATTGTTAGGATGAATGAGATCCACATTGTATCAACAGACAAAACCCAACTGTTTCTTGGACTTGCATTAATTTTAATTTAATATACATAATTGTACTTGCTCCTATTTCCTGACCTTGACCGGTCAAAAGGAGCGCAAACAATAATACCAAAAAGGAATCAAATTATTATTTATTTTATTTCGGCACATTTTTTAATATAGGGAGGACGAAAGATTAGTGACATCAGAGCCGATAAGAAAGTTTGTTAACAGAGCATGTGACCTCTAATTTTTTTTAAATCAAAAAATTAATTATAATTATTAGTTAATTTCAGAAGATAATTAAGCAACGCATCAGCTTCGGTATTACTGAAAATATTCGGTTATATTATAGCCATTTATGTTTTATTGATGAACATGGAATCAATATTATTCTTTTCAGTGAAGGGGGGAAAAAAAAATCGCTCAGCGCATCTCACCGACATTTTATATTTGTATGGCACTAATTGTACTATATGCCATCCAAATGCATATAATAGTGAAATCAGAGAATAATTTGGAATTTAAAATTAGGGTATTTATATAAATACCATAAAATGGTTTTAAGATATTTATATATCCAACAAATAAATTTCTATATTGATATATATACCGTCTGATATATCATTAAAAAATTATCTTGATCGATCGGGCTAGAGTCTCGAGGCAAAAATCAAGTTGAAAGTTTCAAAAATCAAATATGCGATCATCTGAGCTCTGATTTCAGCAAACTTACACTCGAACTAAGCGTCTCAGAAATACAAACCCAACGACACCAAATTCGACTCAATCATAGCACAAATGAGTCCAAATTGAAGTCCCGAAGCACATTCGGAAGGTTCAAACCATAATTTGGATTACCAAACAATATCCAAACATAGCATGTTGATAGTCGCATCGAGCGGCTTGACGAGATAAATCCGACGAACCTAAGATCGTCAAATTCTGACATCACTAAGGCATTCAAATATCTAATAAACAATCCATGATCAACAGAATCAAGATCTACTGTCCATTCAATTCACTCCAAATTTACCTCTGATCTTCATCCTTTTTACTAGATATGCCACTCTCAAAAAATTATAAATAGACCATCATTTCACATAGAAGGGGACCCAAGCAAGAAGATAGGAGAAGAGAAGGAGGGAAGAAGCTCCTCCTCGACCACCGCCGGAGTTCCGCCCGACTTTCAAGTGACGTCGGGGTTTCGCCCGACTTTCAATTGTCGCTGGAGTTCAGCCCTACTTTCAAGTGCCATGGGAGTTTCGCCCGACTTTCAAGTGACGCGAGAGTTCCGCATAAATTCCAAGTGACGTCGGAGTTCCGCCCCACTTTCATGTGACGCCGGAGTTCTGTCCCAAATATCATCTAACACTGGAGTTCTCCCCGGCCGTCGACTGACGGCGGACTTCTATCTGACTTCGGACCTCCGCTCATCATCAGATTTCTACCTAATGTCATCCTTCTGACCTCCGTTTAACGTCAGTCAACAGTCCTACTGACCTCCATCGCCCGCCGACTACGGTCCCTTCCGACTTACGTACGTAACCCATTGACTACTATCCTTCAGACTAAACAAACATGGTAGTAGTGACTCTTTGTATTCCCACCATGCAATTCATATAATGTACATCAAGCCAAGGCCTTCCCCCTAAGGAAGGGTCTCATTTGTAATCGACTACAAATAATAGTGTATTCATTCAAACTTGGCTAGGCCCCGTTGTTTTCCCCCTTTTCAGGGGTTTTCCACATAAAAATTTGTGTCTCATAAGAATGCAACACCCTCTCTTTTTATCTGTATGTGTGTTAGATTTTTGTACAATACTAAGACACTAAACTTTAAATTTCTCTATCGCCACGAATACTCTATGACGCAACACCATCTATATCTTTAAATAACATAAAAATATTATTAATATTTATTCATCTTCAAAAACTGCTTTGATCGAGCATAAATCATGAGGTATATTCAAGTTGTCATATTCTTAAGTTTAATTCAGGACCATCCAAACTCCAATTTTAGCGACTACAATCTAATTGAACATCTTAGTAAGATGAAATTTGCAATATCAAAATTGGTCCAATCCGAGAATAAACGAGCTTAAATCAATGGTTTAAAGTATATTAAAAAGTTTTAAAATATTAATTAGATGATCAAATGATATTCAAATATAGCATACTTATAGTCGAATCGAACATACCTATGAGAAAAATCCAACGCGCTCAAGACTACTTAATTATAACATCATTAAGACACTTAAATGCTTGACAAATGCTCCATGATCGAGAAAATCAATATGGGCTGTCTGATAGAACACTCTGAATTTGCCTCATAACTTCATCATATTTACAAGGCATATTACTCTCGAAATCAATATATAGACTCTCTCTTCCCACATGAAAAGGGGCTTGGACTTTTGGAGGCTTAGACCTTGGGCTTGGACAATATATAGACTATATCTTCCCACACTCAAGAGAGTTCTGAGGCTTGAAGCATCCTAGGCCTCCATCACCCACTCATTACGGTCCCTCTGAACTTTGTCGCCTGCCGACTATAGTCTCTCCAACCTCTGCCGCCCACCGACGATAATCCCTCAGACCTCCATCACCCACTGACTACAGTCCTTCCGACCACTTTCACCAGCCTATTATGGTCCCTCCAATCACTGTCAGTCGCCAAATACGTTCCCTCGAATCTTTATCGGTTGTTGACTATGGTCCCTTCAACCTCCGTCGACGCCTACTGACTATGATCCCTCAAATCATCATCACCTTACTACGGTCCTTTCGACCTCTGTGCTTATCGACTACATTCCCTCTTACATTGTTGTCCAAATAAATTCCTTCTAATCAAATAAGCATGCCAACACTCTCTTGAGAATAGCTCTCATAACCATTGGTTTTCCCAACCCCGATCATGTAAAGTCCTTTATATGATGTATATTTGTTGCATTAAGCCAACACATTCCTCCGAGGAAGAGCATCATTTATAACTAATAACAAATACTAGTGGATTCATTTCAACTTGACAATTCCTCGTAGTTTTTATCCCTTTCCAAAAAAATTCAAGTAAAAATTATGGTGTCTCTTATAACTGTTATGCATCTCTCCCTTTATTTGTGTGTGTGCTAGATCTTCCATCAAAGTGAGGATAC